TTGTTTGTAGTTGTATTATGTTTTGTGCGGTGTGTGTGTTTTTTTTTGGTGTGTGTGGGGTTGTGGGTGTGTTTTGGTGTGTGTGGGGTGTTGGGGTGTGTTGTGTGTGTGTTGTGTGTTTATGTGTGTTTGGTGTTTGTGTGTGTGTACTCACCTAATTGACTCACCTAAATTTTGGTTTCAGGGGGGCGATACTCAGCTCCGGCCCCCCTCTCTTCATGATCGCTACTAGGGTTTCCCCTCTCTCTCTGCTTCCTGAGCTGTATCATACCTCTCTTAAAACTATGTATGGTTCCTGCCCTCCACTACTTCACTTGCTAGGCTATTCCACTTCCTGACAACTCTTGACTGAAGAAATACTTCCAACGTCCCTGTGACTCTTCTAAAGTCTTCAGCTTCCAGTTGTGACCCCTTGTCCTGTGTCCCCTCTCGGGAACATCCAAATCTCTGTCCACCTTGTCTTTTCCCCGCAGTATCTTGTATGTCGTTATCATGTCTCCCCTGACCCTTCTGTCCTCCAGTGTCGTCAGTCCGATTTCCCTCAACCTTTCCTCGTACGACTTTCCCCCTGAGCTCGGGGAATAGCCTTGTTGCAAACCTTTGTACTTTAACTCTTGACGGCTTGACCAGGTTTTTGGGTTCCAGACTGGTGCTGCCATTCCAGTAGGGGCCTAACATACACAGTGTACAGTGTCTTGAACGATTCCTTAGTAAGGTACGGAACGCAAATTCTCAGGTTTGCCTGGCGCCCGTATGCTGCAGCAGTTATTTGGTTGATATGTGCCCCCGGTGATGTGCTCGGTGTTATGGTCACCCCAAGGCCCTTTCCCTCCCTGATGAGGCTGTAGTCTTTGTCCACCTACCAAATACTCTGTCTGGGGGTCTTCTTTGCCCCTCCCCAACTTCATGACTTTGCATTTGGCCCTGGATTGAATTCGAGAAGCCAGTTTCTGGATCACATGTCCAGCCTGTCCAGATCTCTTTGCAGTCCTGCCTCATCCTCATCCTATTTAATTCTTCTCATCAACTTCACATCATCTGCGAACAGGGACACTTCAGAGTCTATTCCTTCCATCATGTCGTTCACATATATTAAAAATAGCACGGTCCAGAACTGACCCTGTGGGCCCCCGCTCGTCACAGGCGCCCACTGTGACCCCTCTTCACGTACCATGACTCATTGCTGCCTCCCTGTCAGGTATTCCCTGATCCATTGCAGTGCCCTCCCTGTTACATGCGCCTGATCCTCCAACTTCTGCACTAATCTCTTGTGGGGAACAGTGCCCAAAGGCTTCCTGCAGTCTAGGAAAACGAAATTTCTACCCACCCCTCTCTCGCGTGTCTTACTTCTGTTACCTAATCATAAAACTCCAGGAGGTTGTGATGCAAGATTTGCCTTCCATGAACCCATGCTGGTTTTCATTATAATCTTGTCCTTTTCCAGGTGTTCGACCACTCTCCTCCTGATAATCTTCTCCATGACTTTGCACACAATACATGTCAGAGACACAGGTCTGTGTTTAGCGCCTCGTTTCTGTTTCCTTTCTTAAATATGGGGACTACATTAGCTGTCTTCCATTTCTCGGTAGTTGCCCAGTTTCAAGGGATGTGTTGAAGATTGTGGTTAGAGGCACGCACAGCATCTCTGCTCCTTCTCTAAGGACCCATGGGGGGATTTTTGTCCGGCCCATCGCCTTTGAGGTGTCAAGGCACTTAGGAGCTTCTTCACCTCCTCCTCAGTTTGTTAGATGTCACCAACACTTGTTGGATATTCCCTCTGATGTTCCCTTCTGTGCTGCTTCCCACAGCCCTTCCTGTCTCTACTGTAAAAATTTCCCTTTAAAATCTCCTGTTCAGCTCCTCACTACCTCCTGATCATTTCTTGGAGTTCTCCACCTTCTGTCCTTAATCTGATCACCTGGTCTTTGACTATTGTCTTACTCCTGATGTGGCTATACAACAGTTTCGGGTCAGTCTTGATTCTCGATGCTATGTCTTTTTCCCATACGGGTCGCTGGGCGTCCCTCCTTACCGTGCATACCATTCCTGGCTCTGCGACTGATCTCCATATTTTCGTGTGTTCTCTGCCTTCTGTACTTTTTTCCATTCTCTTTTGCATTTTGGGTTTTGCCTCCTTACACCGTCGGGTAAACCAGGGCTCGTTCTGGTTTTTTTCCGTTGTTACTTTTTGCCCTTGGGAATAAACCTTTCCACTGCCTCTTGCATTTTTTTGTTACATATTCCATCATTTCATTTACTGGCTTTCCTGCCAGTTCTCTGTCCCACTGGACCTCCAGCAGGAATTTCTTCAACCCAAAGTAGTCCCCTTATCGTGGGCCCCTACTCACAAGATGGCAGGCTCGTCGAAATTTATCTCCAGAAATCGCTGTAACGTCAGAATTACAGGCCCTCCGTTGCCACCATTTACGTAGGGGTTCTTAAATGGAGATATCGAGGGTTGGAGGTAGACACACTTGTTGGATGGTAACGATTATTTTTGTCAGACTGGGGATGATGGGAGAGGGACCCCAGCCCTGCCTGTCCTAGCCTGGATGTCTACGCCGACTGAGAGCGGGGCAGAGGTACAACGTACACATGCGCATCCCGTGACGTCACACAAGAGTCACAGGCCTAAAAGGGATCTCCTATCTAAAACAAAATGGATGATACAAATATGCAATACAACACAGGGATCAGCAACAATGCTGACCCCCTCTTTATAGTCAGGCTTTTCCCATTCAACTCCTGTTATTCTTTTCCACTTGCAGCTCTACTATGTATTCAAAGCACAGAACCACGTGGTCGCTAGCTCCTAGGGGGCTCTCATACTTGTGTTCCTCAATGTCTGAGCGCCCAGGGTGAACACAAGGTCCAATCTTGCTGGTTCATCCTCCCCTCTGTGTGTGTGTGTGTGTGTGTGTGTGTGTGTGTGTTAGTTGTGTTGGGGTGTGTGTGTGTGTGTTTTGTTTGGTGTGGTGTTAGTTGTGTTTGTGTGTGTGTGTGTGTGTGTGTGTGTGTGTGTGTGTGTGTGGTGTGTGTGTGTGTGTGTGTGTGTGTGTTAGTGTGTGTGTGTGTTTGTGTGTGTGTGTGTGTGTGTGTGTGTGTGTTAGTTGTGTGTGTGTGTTAGTTGTATGTGTGTGTGTGTGTGTTAGTTGTATGTGTGTGTTATTTGTGTGTGTGCATGTGTGTGTGTATGTGAATAGGTAAACCGGTCGATTAATTTAAAAACTCATTTAAAATTAAGTCCTTTCTAAATTTCTCTTATACTTTTAAAGATAATTTTGTCCTTTATGTTAATGTAAAAAATTAATAATTTGTACTAAAAGAACCTTAGAAAACTTACCTAACCTTATTTTAAAAAAGCGTAATTAATTTTGCTTAATCCAACTAAATATATATTATATAATTTATAATAATTTAATAAAAAACCCAATGAAATATATGTTTTTTCGTTAGGTTCACAATGAATTTTGCGAAATTATTGCATACACAAATTTTCCCCAAAGACTTATTCAGCAAGAAGGGGCGTTTCTATTAAAGCCAAAATCGCAAATTTTACCTATTCGGCATAACATTATATATATATATATATATAATATATATATATATATATTATATATAAAATATATATTTTATAAATTATATAATATATATATATATATATAAATATATATAAATATAATATATATATATAAAATATAATCACCTAATTCAAATTCGCATTATAAAAAATAATATAATAAATGTACAGCTGAATTACCCAAAAAAGTCTAAAACTAAGGACAATTATCTTATTTAACACATAAAGTTCACTTAACACAACCTCTACTTTAAAAAATTTCGACAGACAAAGAGGGACCAATACCGTGACTGGAACAATACACTAACAACTCGCACATAGGAGAAAAGGAGCTTATGACGACGTTTCGGCCCAACTTGGAGCATTACAGAGTCACGTGACTTGTAAATGGTCCCCAAATATGGCCGAATCGTCGTCGTAAGGTCCTCTCTCCTATGTGCGGGGTTTTTTGTGTAATTTTGTTTTACATATCCCTTAATACAATTCACTTAAAACAGTCTCCTCCCTTAAAAACCGTCCACTTCATAAACAAGCACATAGGGTATGCCATAATTAGGAAACTCAGCCACTTTCTGCTCTAAGTTCGATTTGACACTTGTCCGCCAAATTGATAATACGAGACCACTTGACTCACTTAAGAGCTTCAACTGAACGTAATTCACTCTCCCAGCTATGACACAGACACTGCCCCTCGTTCATTAACAAATTCAACCTGCATGGCACCCCAGGGATACACCCTGGCAGGGGAAATTAATTTTTTATGAGGGGCCTCTCAGTGCCATTAATCTGAGTATGGCGCTGAGTAAATTCGACCTTGTCGAAACAGAAGTTAGAATGGAGGGGTGGAAGTATTTCAACTGCTTTTTATTTTATTTTAGCTTGTCCGTCCACTGAAACACTGAAATACTTTTTCATTGCTAGGCGTGCTCTTCGAGTTACCTTGAAACTGCTGGCTAAGACTTTAATCTTGTTTTATTAACTGCCTGGGACGTCATTCGTTTTCCCGGAACCTCTGGTTGTTGTCTTAATTGATCATCTTTGTTCCTGGAATCTTCTGGATGTTGTCGAGTGATCATCCTGGTTCTTGAAATCTCTGGTTGTTGTCTTGGCTGGTCATTCTGGTTCCCCGGTACCTCTGGTTGTTGTCTTAGCTGTCGTCTTTGGATCCTGGTACTTCCGCTTATCTTGGCTGGTCATCCTGGTTCTTGATACCTCTGGTTGTTTGTCTTGGCTGGTCGTCTTGAATCCTGGTACCTCCGGTTGTTGTCTTGGCTGGGCATTTCCCGGTTCCTGATACCTCTGGTTATTGTTTTGGCTGGTCATCCTGGCTTCTGGATCCACGGTTGGTTTTTTTTTGGCTGGTTTTCTGGTTCTGGAAACACTGGTTGTTACCATCAGTTTATTGCAATCATTGGGGCGCTATAATCATGCGTTATATACCGCAGAGTCATGTAGGTCATGGGGAATGAAAGGCAACCGAATTCGATCCAAGTAGTCCTTAACCGTCATCGTAACACCTCCGCAGAATTGTTGATCTTTGCCTGAGGTGGACCGGTGGAGTTTTGAAACATCTCTTTGGTACGACGGGCCGTTCGCTTCTCGTGGATAGTTTAGAACTTGAACTTGAGTTCTGCATCTGTCTTGGGGGAAGGGGTCATCTCGTTCTTTCCCCAGTTGGGCATAGAAAACACTCGCTCCAGTTTGGCGTTCGGGGGTCTCGTCTTGTCTACGATGGAACGAGGGTCCACCAGCGATGGCTGCTTCTTTTTCCGTTCTGAAAGGAGGAAGAGAGAGATTAATGAAAACGTTCTGCATTCCGTAGGACAGGAGAGAGAAAGAGAGAGAGAGAGAGAGAGAGAGAGAGAGAGAGAGAGAGAGAGAGAGAGAGAAGAGAAAGAGAGGAGAGAGAGAGAGAGAGAGAGGGAGAGGGAGAAAAGCAGAGAGAGAGAGAGAGAGAGAGAGAGAGAGAGAGAGAGAGAGAGAGAGAGAGAGAGAGAGAGAGAGAGAGAGAGAGAGAGAGAGAGAGAGAGAGAGAGAGAGAGAGAGAGAGAGAGAGAGAGAGAGAGAGAGAATGAATGGCTGGATGAATGAGTGTGATCAGAAATTCTAGGTGGCAGAGGTGATGATGAGAGGAAAATAATGATATAATGAAGTTCATTATATCATTTTCCTATTATCATCAACTTCTCTGCCACCTAAAGAGACGAGAAGGGAAGATTATCAAGAGATGAGGGAGAACGGAAGAGAATAAGGGAGAAATATAGGATAGGAGGACTTACCTGCGACGTATGCTGGAGGGGTCTGGGGTTGACTACTGAGGAAGAAGTGATCTCTGAGGTTCTCCGGCAGTGAAGACAACAGCTTGGCTCTGATCTGCGTCACTACGCTGGGCACGTACCGCGTCTGTGAGAAATTTCAAATTCAAAATTTTACATTTTTGTATGCGTTACGATGATAATGCAGTTTTGTGTCTAACACTGTTAGACACAAAGGAAAGCCAATAATTATTTGAAAGTGTCTGAGTGATCGTCGGTTTTGAGGAGTAATTACAAACAGCGAGTGAATGTAGAAGAAGATGTTACAGTAGAAATATAATGGGACAAGATGCATAATTAATTGTCTGTGGTAGATGGAACACTTTATCTCATCTCTGTGAGAAGACGGACGATATCTGTCACAACCTCTAGGGTTTATATCTGTCACAACCTCTAGGGTTTATATCTGTCACAACCTCTAGGGTTTATATCTGTCACAAACCTCTAGGGTTTATATCTGTCACAACCTCTAGGGTTTATATCTGTCACAACCTCTAGGGTTTATATCTGTCACAACCTCTAGGGTTTATATCTGTCACAACCTCTAGGGTTTATATCTGTCACAACCTCTAGGGTTTATATCTGTCACAACCTCTAGGGTTTATTTTCCATAGTTCGTGATCATTACAACTAAGGTAATATAACTTAATGTAAAATGAAACATATAGTGAGCCGGAATATATATTTTTTTTCAATTGTTGCTGCTTTTATTTATTGTTGTAATTTACTCAAACAAACATTGAAACATCCTAAATACCTTAATTAAGGCAAAGATAAAAGAAACACTCGAGATAACAGAAGAGCTTTTATTAACGGAGGTATATAACGTTTCCTTCGCATTTAATAATCGAAAAGTCGTGTATCTCTGTAAATGATAAAGTAGACACATGTGCAACACTTGGGTATCTTTGAGGAAACGTTTCGCCACACAGTGGCTTCATCAGTCGGTTTTCTGAACCATTTATCTATACATCTATAAATAAAGGCTCTATTTTCTCTATTTTCACAACACACTGACTGTGCCACAGTTTCACTGCACATTGACTGTGTCTCAGTTTCACTACACACTGAGCCTCAGTTTCACTACACACTGGCTGTGCCTCAGTTTCACTACACACTGACTGTGTCTCAGTTTCACTACACACTGGCTGTGCCTCAGTTTCACTACACACTGACTGTGCCTCAGTTTCACTACACACTGGCTGTGCCTCAGTTTCACTACACACTAACTGTGTCTCAGTTTCACTACACACTAGCTGTGCCTCAGTTTCACTACACACTGACTGTGCCTCAGTTTCACTACACACTGAGCCTCAGTTTCACTACACACTGACTGTGCCTCAGTTTCACTACACACTGGCTGTGCCTCAGTTTCACTACATACTGACTGTGCCTCAGATTCACTACACACTGGGTGTGCCTCAGATTCACTACACACTGACTGTGCCTCATATTCACTACACACTGGCTGTGCCTCAGTTTCACTACACACTGACTGTGCCTCAGATTCACTACACACTGGGTGTGCCTCAGTTTAACTACGCACTGACTGTGCCTCAGTTTCACTACACACTGGCTGTGCCTCAGTCTCACTGCACACTGACTGTCTCAGTTTCACTACACACTGGCTGTGCCTCAGTTTCACTACACGCTGACTGTGCCTCAGTTTCACTACACACTGACTGTGCCTCAGTTTCACTGCACACTGGCTGTGCCTCAGTTTCACTACACACTGACTGTGTCTCAGTTTCACTACACACTGACTGTGCTTCAGTTTCACTACACACTGGTTGTGCCTCAGTTTCTTTACACACTGTGTCTCAGTTTCACTACACACTGACTGTGCCTTAGTTTCACTTCACACTGACTGTGTCTCAGTTTCACTGCACACTGGCTGTGCCTCAGTTTCACTACACACTGGCTGTGCCTCAGTTTCATTACACACTAACTGTGTCTCAGTTTCACTACACACTGACTGTGCCTCAGTTTCACTACACACTGACTGTGCCTCAGTTTCACTACACACTGGCTGTGCCTCAGTTTCACTACACACTAGCTGTGCCTCAGTTTCACTACACACTGGCTGTGCCTCAGTTTCACTACACACTGGCTGTGTCTCAGTTTCACTACACACTGGCTGTGCCTCAGTTTCATTACACACTGTGTCTCAGTTTCACTACACACTGACTGTGCCTCAGTTTCACTGCACACTGGCTGTGCCTCAGTTTCACTACACACTGGCTGTGCCTCAGTTTCATTACACACTGACTGTGTCTCAGTTTCACTACACACTGACTGTGCCTCAGTTTCACTACACACTGACTTTGCCTCAGTTTCACTACACACTGTATCTCAGTTTCACTACACACTGGCTGTGTCTCACTTTCACTACACACTGACTGTGCCTCAGTTTCACTGCACACTGGCTGTGCCTCAGTTTCACTACACACTGGCTGTGCCTCAGTTTCATTACACACTAACTGTGTCTCAGTTTCACTACACACTGACTGTGCCTCAGTTTCACTACACACTGACTGTGCCTCAGTTTCACTACACACTGGCTGTGCCTCAGTTTCACTACACACTAGCTGTGCCTCAGTTTCACTACACATTGGCTGTGCCTCAGTTTCACTACACACTAGCTGTGCCTCAGTTTCACTACACATTGGCTGTGCCTCAGTTTCACTACACACTGGCTGTGCCTCAGTTTCACTACACACTGGCTGTGCCTCAGTTTCATTACACACTGACTGTGTCTCAGTTTCACTACACACTGACTGTGCCTCAGTTTCACTACACACTGACTGTGCCTCAGTTTCACTACACACTGTATCTCAGTTTCACTACACACTGGCTGTGTCTCACTTTCACTACACACTGACTGTGCCTCAGTTTCACTACACACTGGCTGTGCCTCAGTTTCACAACACACTGACTGTGTCTCAGTTTCACTACACACTGACTGTGTCTCAGTTTCACAACACACTGACTGTGCCTCAGTTTCACTACACACTGACTGTGCCTCAGTTTCACTACACACTGTGCCTCAGTTTCACTACACACTGTGCCTCAGTTTCACTACACACTGTATCTCAGTTTCACTACACACTGGCTGTGTCTCATTTTCACTACACACTGACTGTGTCTCAGTTTCACTACACACTGACTGTGTCTCAGTTTCACTACACACTGGCTGTGTCTCATTTTCACTACACACTGACTGTGTCTCATTTTCACTACACACTGACTGTGTCTCAGTTTCACTACACACTGGCTGTGCCTCAGTTTCACAACACACTGACTGTCTCAGTTTCACTACACACTGGCTGTGCCTCAGTTTCACAACACACTGACTGTCTCAGTTTCACTACACACTGGCTGTGTCTCATTTTCACTACACACTGACTGTATCTCAGTTTCACTACACACTGGCTGTGCCTCAGTTTCACAACACACTGACTGTGCCTCAGTTTCACTACACACTGGCTGTGCCTCAGTTTCACAACACACTGACTGTCTCAGTTTCACTACACATTGGCTGTGTCTCATTTTCACTACACACTGACTGTATCTCAGTTTCACTACACACTGACTGTGCCTCAGTTTCACTACACACTGGCTGTGCCTCAGTTTCACAACACACTGACTGTCTCAGTTTCACTACACACTGGCTGTGCCTCAGTTTCACAACACACTGACTGTCTCAGTTTCACTACACACTGGCTGTGCCTCAGTTCCACTACACACTGACTGTCTCAGTTTCACTACACACTGGCTGTGTCTCATTTTCACTACACACTGACTGTGTCTCAGTTTCACTACACACTGGCTGTGTCTCATTTTCACTACACACTGACTGTGTCTCAGTTTCACTACACACTGGCTGTGTCTCAGTTTCACTACACACTGACTGTGTCTCAGTTTCACAACACACTGGCTGTGCCTCAGTTTCACAACACACTGGCTGTGCCTCAGTTTCACAACACACTGGCTGTGCCACATACCTTAGGATCGTTCCCGGCCACAGCGTCGACCATATCATCTATAACCTCCTTGATCTTCTCCGAGGGTTTAGCTTTATTAAGGTGGTTTGAAATAGTCGTCTTGAAGTCCTTGATATACTCGTCTCCGTAAGACTTCTTGACGTCCTCTGAACACTCCTGCCAGAACCTGTCAAGTGCGCTGTGGATGCGTCCTTCCTGACTGATGGGAGTCCTGCAGGAGAGGCCAGGAAGTTTAAGGATTTATAAATGAGATTTTTTTTATAATGTATGGGTTGCCTTACAGTTTGTTAAACGGTCTCAATGTTAGTTTACATTCAAAGATATGCCAGACAGGATTTTTCGTAGTGTAGTTGTGGCCTCTTATGGGACATGGAAAAATGGGAGATATTATTTAAAAGTGTGAATTAAAACAAGTATTTGAGTGCCATTTTTCATGATAAAGTGTATATATTTATTTGTAAAAGACTGGGTAATAGAAAAGGTACAATATTCTTACAGACTCACTATTTTCACTAAAATTTTTATTTCTCCGAGGCTACAGGTCCCTACAAAAGGACCCATTAAAAAATATAAAGGATATATATATGGTACTGAAAACATCTCAGCGAGGTAGAACTCGCAACAGAGGATTCATACTGGACAAATTCAGAATTCAAGAAAATGGTGAGGAGAACCATTGTTGTGGCAACAGATCTATGGTGTTATTTAGGTGAATACTTCCGGTAATGTTATAAATCAGGCTAGACAAATACGTAAGTAGGAATAGTTGGGTGAGTTTACCCCGTCAAACATGGGTGAGTAAACTTCTTTTTTTTTAGTGGGTGAGAGGAGGAAAGAAGTAGATTAAAGAGTAGCTGGTAATGTACAATGTTGATATTTACAAGTGTAAGGCTCAGTGAAAGCAGAGTGTCTCTCCACCTGAATCTTATTTCTTGAGTCTAGGTAGATGCTAGAATTTCTGTGACGTGTCTCAAGAACTTCTCTCCACGGAAGCCTGACTCCTCGCAGGGGTCAGGCTTCCGTGTTGACAATCTAAGTTTTAATGTTCTCTTATTCATCCTTTCCTAATATAAAGTAGATAATCTCTGAACTGCCATCAAGTCTTAATGTTCTTTAATGAATTACTTTATTTGTTTTGCCTTTATCACTGTCTATTGTGTATTTTCCTCTCCTGATATTCTATACATAGTCCATTAATTTTACTCTTGTTCCTTCACATTTATCTTGTTTGACTAATCTATTGTTCTTTTCCATATTTACTTGTAAAGTATTTTTTTTCAGTTGTCTTTTGGATGATTTATTGTTGAAGAGAACCAGAATCCTCTTTTTCTATAGTTTTCCACTGGGATGGGACATATTTCTTCATCTTCATCTTATTTCTGGGAATGTATTACCCACTGGTGGGTGGCTACGAATTTCCTTTTCTACTTCAGATGAATTGTCTGTGACAATTTTTAGGGTTTCTTCTGATGGGACTTGGTCTGGAAAAGTTCATGTCTGGGAGATGATTTAGTCCAACCCTTTCTCCTACAGTATCTGCAAAAGGTCCTGGATACGTTTGGATTAAAGTGTCATAAACACTTAAGAAATCACTTGGACTGAAATCTGAATTGCAGGTAAAAATAATCCTGTATATTTCTTCACGAAGAGGGTCTCTGAGGCAAATATTTGCATATATTTTTTTTATCTGGGTAGCTTTATTTGTGTTACTTTAGTTATTTATTCGTAGTTGTTTTACGTGACTAGGTGCGAGGGGTTCGTGATTGCTAGGTGTTGTGTGTGTTGTATTGTTTTGTTAAGTGTTGAGGCTTATGTCGCTTCTTGTGTTGCTCGTTGGATTCATTGAGTGTTGTGTTCTTTAGCTATTTCCTTATATGTTGCTTTATTTTTCTGGAAGCAGACTTTTTCTTTTCATCTTTTTTTATATTGTGTACGAATGATATATAATACCGAAAGATGAGATTAAGACACATGTGAACATCTGGGTATTCTTTTTGTAGCGTTTCCCCATCAGTGGCTTATCAATCAAATTTAGGCATAACTTGAAGACAGTAGAATTGTACAAGATGAGGTATATCTCTCAACCTAGGTAGGTGCGAAGAGCACCAGGTGCTCTTCGCACCTACTCCTAGGTTGAGGGACTGATTACCTCATCTTCTGTACATAGTTCTACTGTCTTCAAGTTATGTCCTAGAATTTGTATTGATAAAGCCACTGGATGGCGAAACGTCTACAATAAAGATACCCAGATGTTGCACATGTGTCTTAATCTCATTTTTTTATATTGTAAGACATACTGCAACAATGCAAGGTATGGTAATCTCCTCTCCAGTTAAGACATGTTAGTGGGGTGCAGATACTGTCGATGTGATCGTATTTATATAAAATGTAGCAAGGCTTTATGGTGCAGCATACTTCTTGCTCGACATTCCTTGGATAGATATAGTGATGAGATATATATACTCAGGCCTCAATATGTTGCTTTACATACATTGAGATTTACCCAAATTTTGACTTTCAACACTGAAGAAATATCTTCGGCATACGATAAACTTCTTCCACTTTGGCCCAAGTAATCCTGTCGTCAGTGATCATTGTCAGTTCATTAGCAGTTTTCTTCTGTGGTTAAAATCAAATGAATGAAACACTTATGTCACCTCATTACGGACGTGCTTCGGCACTGTGGTCTTCTTCGCTCTAGTTTTCCAGGACCGAAACGTATCCAGAATATTATGTTCCAGGTGTTTGTTAACGTATCTTCAACCACAACTTTGTTAGATTCTCATACTTCCTTCTCAAGTCCGTTGGCATTATTTTTCAATTCTAATTAAATAATTACTTCAATTTTTGTTGCTGTTAATTATTTCCACTGCAGATGCTGATGTGAATAGCCTGTGTCGTTGTCACTGAGGCAGTGGGACATAAAAAGAGTCCATCGTTTTAAAGACTTACGGGAGTTTTACTCTGGTATCTTGTCGTAGGATACCGGCCAGGAAATGTTTCTAATGTAGTGTTTCCGTGGTCTTACGTGTGAAGAGTGACTGTCATTTACTGGGTGTACAGAGAGACTGTCCTCATTAAATGCACAGAGTGACTGACCGGGTGAAAAGGGCAAGTAATAAAGAAGAGACAGTCAATTAGGTTGTTGTGTTATTACGATGTCGTGAAAACCCACCTGTAGAGAGTAGGCTCCACCGTGTGGACTGAGATGCCCCACTTCTGCATCTCAAGTCTGAGGCCGTCACCGAAGGAGACGGTGGCGTGCTTGCTCATGCTGTAGGCGGTGAAGCCAGGGAAGGTGTAGCGTCCTGCGGGAGCATAGTACACAGATGAAACAAGTGAGACACAGGCTAGACACAGTTGATACATCCTGTTAGATTAGATTAGAATTAAGAGATAAACAACTCCCGTGGATCATCGAGTGTTCTACGCAGGTCAGAGCTCTGACACGCACGTTACAAAAATAACAGACAGGTAACAAAAACAAATGTTCGTAACAACAACACACCTGAGATAATAACGCCAACACAGGGGTGGCAACCAGGGAAATAAACGTATCAAAAAAATCATAATTTTTCGCGTCACTATTAAACCCTGAAGGTTAACATTATATGAAAAATACTCATCAGTTCTAATCGTATTAGGGAACCGGCGGGGGGAGGGGTTTGAACCCCTGGCACTTACTCGCCTTGGGTTCAACCTCCACCCGTTCCTTGATTTGTTTGCATTTGTGTTATTACGATTTCGTGAGTTATTAGTTCTAGATTCGTTAATTATTCAAACCAATTTACTCCCCCTCCCCCCCTCATAACTCAGAGTACACCAATCACCCCAGCCTCTCCCCCTCCCAAAATAGTCCAGATCAACCCCCACCCTCACTGCCTCCTCAGAGAGTCCAAACCCCCCATAACTCACGCTCAATCCTCCCAAGAAGGACTACACCTCCACCCTTAACCCCCCAGATAGGCTCAGACCCCCACCCTCACTCCCCCTCAAAAAGCCGCTGCGTCAGTACAAACATTACCAAGTCAACATCACCATGATAAAAAGTTAAGAAAAAGTATGAAAGGAACGTGAAGGCTATCGTTTACCTGAGTGTGTGTACTCACCTAATTGTGGTTGCAGGGGTCGAGACTCAGCTCCTGGCCCCGCCTCTTCACTGATCGCTACTAGGTCCTCTCCCTCTCTGCTTCCTGAGCTTTGTCATACCTCTTCTTAAAACTATGTATGGTTCCTGCCTCCACTACTTAACTTGCTAGACTATTCCACTTCCTGACGACTCTATGACTGAAGAAATACTTCCTAACGTCTCTGTGACTCGTCTGAGTCTTCAGCTTCCAGTTGTGACCCCTTGTTTCTGTGTCCCCTCTCTGGAGCATCCTATCTCTGTCCACCTTGTCTATTCCCCGCAGTATCTTGTATGTTGTTATTATGTCTCCCCTGACCCTTCTGTCCTCCAGTGTCGTCAGTCCGATTTCCCTCAACCTTTCCTCGCACGACATTCCCCTGAGCTCTGGGACTAGCCTTGTTGCAAACCTTTGTACTTTCTCTAACTTCTTGACGTGCTTGACCAGGTGTGGGTTCCAGACTGGTGCTGCATACTCCAGTATGGGCCTAACATACACAGTGTACAGTGTCTTGAACGATTCCTTATTAAGGTATCGGAACGCTATTCTCAGGTTTGCCAGGCGCCCGTATGCTGCAGCAGTTATTTGGTTGATGTGTGCCTCCGGTGACGTGCTCGGTGTTATGGTCACCCCAAGGTCTTTCTCCCTGAGTGAGGTCTGTAGTCTTTGTCCACCTAGCCTATACTCTGTCTGCGGTCTTCTTTGCCCCTCCCCAATCTTCATGACTTTGCATTTGGCAGGATTGAATTCGAGAAGCCAGTTTCTGGACCACATGTCCAGCCTGTCCAGGTCTCTTTGCAGTCCTGCCTCGTGTGTGTGTGTGTGTGTGTGTGTGTGTGTGTGTGTGTGTGTGTGTGTGTGTGTGTGTGTGTGTGTGTGTGTGTGTGTGTGTGTGTGTGTGTGTGTGCGTGCGCGCGCCTCGCCCACTTGGTAAATAAGGTAGACAGCCTCGCCTCTTTATTTTCACAATATGCAAGTCATGTGTGAGGCTGCAGGGTATCTCGGGGAGCCTGAGCATGCTCAGTGCTACCCAGGTGCTACGTTATCATGACAGGACCCCGGGGAGCCTGAGCATGCTCAATGCTACCCAGGTGCTACGTTATCATGACAGGACCCCGGGGAGCCTGAGCATGCTCAATGCTACCCAGGTGCTACGTTATCACGACAGGACCCCGGGGAGCCTGAGCATGCTCAATGCTACCCAGGTGCTACGTTATCACGACAGGACCCCGGGGAGCCTGGCATGCTCAATGCTACCCAGTGTATGTTATCATGACAGGACCCGGGAGCTGAGCATGCTCAGTGCTACCAGGTGCTCGTATCACGACAGGACCCGGGAGCCTGAGCATGCTCCAGTGCTACCAGGGCTACGTTATCATGACAGACCCCGGGAGCCTGAGCATGCTCAGTGCTACCAGGTGCTACGTTACACGAAGGACCCCGGGACCTGAGCATGCTCAGTGCTACCCAGGTGCTACGTTATCATGACAGGACCCCGGGAGCATGAGCATGCAGTGCTACCCAGGTGCTACGTTATCATGACAGGACCCCGGGAGCATGAGCATGCTCAGCGCTACCCAGGTGCTACGTTATCATGACAGGACCCCGGAGCATGAGCATGCTCAGTTGTACCAGTGCTACGTTATCATGACAGGACCCGGGGAGCCTGAGCATGCTCTTGCTACCCAGGTGCTACTTATCATGACAGGACCCGGGAGCATGAGCATGCTCGTGCTACCAGTGCTACGTTATCATGACAGACGCCGGGGAGCCTGAGCATGCTGAGTGCTACCCAGGTGCTACGTTATCACGACAGGACCCGGGGAGCCTGAGATGCTCAGTGCTACCCAGGTGCTACGTTATCACGACAGGACCCCGGAGCCTGAGCATGCTCATGCTACCAAGTGCTACGTTATCATGACAGGACCCCGGGGAGCATGAGCATGCTCAGTGCTACCCAGGTGCTACGTTATCATGACAGGACCCCGGGGAGCATGAGCATGCTCAGTGCTACCCAGGTGCTACGTTATCACGACAGGACACCGGGGAGCCTGAGCATGCTCAGTGCTACCCAGGTGCTACGTTATCATGACAGGACCCCGGGGAGCCTGAGCATGCTCAGTGCTACCCAGGTGCTACGTTATCATGACAGGACCCCGGGGAGCCTGAGCATGCTCAGTGCTACCCAGGTGCTACGTTATCATGACAAGACCCCGGGGAGCATGAGCATGCTCAGCGCTACCCAGGTGCTACGTTATCATGACACAAATAATGAAGGACCCAGCGTGTGAGTGTGCTGCTGCAGGTACGTCACTCCTACAAGAGATGAAACAGTGGAAGACACAAACGCAGCAAAAAGAGGGCCCCTTTTCGACAACGTTTCGCCCCCACTGGAGGGTTCATCAGGTCAAAAAAAAAAAGGGGCTTTTTAAGCTACTCGCAGTGGATGGTGCAAAAAAATTTCCCCGAGTCAGTAAAATTAAAAAAAAAAAACTGATCTATGACCCTAAAGACCTTTTTTCTCTGCCGGTTAAGAATTATCCCGGTTCCTTAATAAGGGGCTGCTGGGAAAAAAAAAGACAGTCTTTTCCAGTTTTTTTTGTCAGGAAAAAAATGCTTTTAATCTTTCTTAATCAAAGACACGCCCAAATATTTTAGGAGGGTTGTGATTTTGTGTAAACAGAGGGGACTGGGCTGGTTTAAAAGGTGACCCGCCGTTTGAAAATCGATGGGGTTGGGTACAAATATTTTATTTTTCCAGAGGCTCCAAAAGGCCTTACCCCCGATTACTACACGAGGATGAGCCCCATCCCCCATCGCTCATAACTAAAAAAGATTTTTTAAAAATTAAAAAAGGTTTAAAATGAAACCCCATACCCGTTTATTTTACTACTGTAAGATCAGTTTAGTATAAAACTTAGCTGGTTTATAAAATTTTCCCAGGTGAAAATTTCCGGGTCTACAGAATGTATAGGGGAACCCTTTTCTGGGAAAGTATAAAAATTTTTGTCAATCCCTTAACTACTGGGAAAATTGGAAAAACACTTGCAAACTACTCGTTGGAACGCAGGCGGGGTGGATTTTCTATATCATAATTACAAATTTGGGAAAAAACTAGAAGATGGTGCCCTTCTGCACACGGAAATCATTTTCCCCCGAAAGCAAAAGGGGGCGAAAGGGAAACGGTTTCAAAAAAACCCCCCAAAGAAAAAATAGGGGCAACCCTTGGTCCAATAAGGGGAAAAAACAGGGGAAGTGTCCCAAAGGGCCAAAAACTGTTCAAAAGCCTCCCACCGGCATAAGGGGAATTTACCAAAAGGGCCCCCGGTTTCCCTTTAAAGGGGAGCTTGGGCAGATACTTAAAGACGGTTTTCGGGGCCAGAAAGGGATTTTGGTTTCATTTTTGGACTGGGGTTTCGGCCAGCGTTTAAAAACCTGGTTGATCAGGCCCCCATCCCCCGGGAAGGGGTGGTGGGGAAAAGGACCCGGGGAAATTCATCCCCCGGAAAATTTCCTTTCCCGGTAGAATCCCGGTAAGGGGTTTTTTAGAAACAGCCAATTTATGGTTTTAAATTTTGGGGGAAAAAAAGGGGGGAGGGGGGAAGGGGGGAGGGAAAAGGGGGGGAGGGAGGGAAGGGGGGGGAGGGAGGGGAGGGGAGGGTGGGAGGGGGGAGGGGGAGGGGGGGGGGGGGGGGGGGAGGGGGGGGGGAGGGAGGGAGGGAGGGGGAGGGGGGAGGGGGGGGGGAGGGGGGAGGGGGAAGGGGGGGGAGGGAGGGAGGGGGGGAGGGGGGGGGGTGGGGGGGGGGGGGAGGGGGGGGGAGGGAGGGGGGGGAAGGGGGGAGGGAGGGAGGGAGGGAGGGAAGGGGGGGAGGGGGGGGGGGGGGGGAGGGAAAGGGAGGGGGGGAGGGGGAGGGGGGAGGGAGGGAAGGGGGGAGGGGGAGGGGAGGGGGGGGAGGAAGGAGGGAGGAGGGGGGAGGGAGGGGGGGAGGGAGGGGGGGGGGGGGGGGGAGGGAGGGAGGGAGGGGAAGGGGAGGGAGGGAGGGAGGGAGGGAGGGAGAGGGGAGGGAGGGAGGGGGGGGGGGGAGGGGGGGAGGGAGGGAGGGGGGGGAAAGGGGGGAGAGGGGGAGGGGGGGGAGGGGGGGGGAGGGAGGGGGGGGGAGGGAGGGAGGGAGGGAGGGGGGGAGGGAGGGAGGGAGAGAGGGAGGGAGGGAGGGAGGAGGGGGGGGGGGGGGGAGGGAGGGGGGGGGGAGGGGGAAG